CCCCCCCCCCCCCCGAAAGTTATAAAGGATACACCTAGTGCTTTGGATTCATTTCATTTTGATGCGGATGCGGATACGGATTCAGATCCTGAATTTTCCTTGAAAATGTATCCGGATCCAGGTCATGAAGATTTCTTTAAGATTTACTTATTTTTTAAAACAAAATTATTGAAAATATTTGTTCTACTTTTTTGCTTATAATTATGCTATGGCTTGATATACCATTCATGAATGATGGAAAATTTTCATAATCTCTCTTTTTTGAACAGTTCAGATTTTAATTAAATCTTACTTGACTTTAATCTAATATTATAACCTTTAAATTATTACTGATTTTGTCTATTTAGATGTATTTATAAACGAGGAAGAAGATCCTCTTCAATTTGAGTCAAACAGACGCAAGAAGAGGAAATTAGGAGAAAGACGATATCATTGTGATAAATGTGATTACTCTGCAAATTCCCCAAGTAGACTTAAAGTACATATTGAGAATAAACATAAAGGAGTAAGATATCCCTGTGATAAATGTGAATACGTTGCAACAGCTGCAAATAATCTCAAAACACATATTGAGAGTAGACATGAAGGATTAAGATATCCTTGCGATAAATGTGATTACGTTGCAACTCTAGCAAGTTCGCTTAAATTACATACACGGAGTCAGCATGAAGGAGTGAGATATCCCTGTGATAAATGTGAGTACGCAGCAACTCGCGTAACGTATCTCAAAAGACATATTGCAAGTAAACATAAGGGAATCTTCTCTCCCTGTGAGAAATGTGACTACGCTGCAACTTGCGTCAGTGATCTCAAAATACATAATAAGAGGAAACATGAAGGAAGGAAATATCCCTGTGACAAATGTGACTACGTTGCAACCCTTGAAAGAAATCTTAGAAAACATATTGAGAGTAAACACATGGGAGTGAAATATCCAAGCATCCAAGCATCAAGTCTTATAATACCTTATATAAGTGAAAATGCTGAATCTAATTATCTTGAGCCCGCTGTAACTACATCAAGTAAAGTGACACTGGCAAGTTCGCTTGAAATACATTTTGCGAGTAAACAGGAAGAAGTGGAATATCCTTGTAATAGATGTGAGTTCGTTGCAACACAGCTAAATGATCTTGAAATGCATACAAAAAGTAAGCATGAAGAACTGACTTATCCTTGTGATAAATGTGATTTTAAAGCTGAAACGGCAAATGTACTTTACAAACATTGTAAGAGTAAACACGAAGGAGTTAAATACCCCTGTGATAAATGTGAATACTTTGCTACCAGCTCATGTAATCTCAAAACTCATATTGAGAGTAGACACGAAGGAATCAGATATCCCTGTGTTGAATGTGATTACTCAGCAAATTTTGCAAGTTCGCTTAAATTTCATATCGAGAGTAAACATAAAAGAGTGATTTACCCTTGTAATAAATGTGAGTACACTGGAACTAGTGTTAGTTATCTCAGAAGACATAATGCGAGTAAACATCACGAAGGAATTTTATTTTACTGTGACAAATGTGAATACGCTGTGGCTCGCGTAAGTGATCTCAAATTGCACATAGAGAGGAAACATGAAGCACCGAAGTACCCCTGTGATAAATGTAAATATGTTGCGACTGTGGAGAGCAATCTTAGAAAGCATAATAAAAGTAAACATGAAGGAGTAAGATATCCCTGCAGTAAATGTGATTATAAAGCAACTACAACTTCAAATCTTAAAATACATTATAAAAATAAACACGAAAAAGCTGTATATCTCTGTGACAAGTGTAATTATGTTGCAAAAACAGCAAGCACCCTAGAAAAACATATTGAGAATACACATGAAAGAGTGATATATCCTTCAGATAACGGAAGTGCATCTAAAACAAATTCACTCAAATTACAAAGTGGGGGTAAACCTGAAGATTTTAGTTTTCTTCGTGATACATCTGGTTTTACAGCCAAAACTACAACTGATCCTGGAAAACATTTTAAGAGTAATCATGAGGGATTAAGATATCCTTGTGATAAATGTGAGTACATTACAACTAAAGCAAGTAATCTTAAAACTCATTTTAAGAGTAACCATGAGGAATTAAGATATCCTTGTGATCAATGTGAGTACATTACAACTAAAGCAAGTAATCTTAAAACGCATTTTGAGAGTAGACATGAGGGAGTCAGATATCCGTGTGATCAATGTGAGTACTCTGCAACTTTAGCAAGTTCGCTTAAAATTCATATTGAGAGTAAACATGAAGGAGTGAGATATCCCTGTGATAAATGTGATTACTCTGCAACTCGCACAAGTTATCTCAAAATACATATTGCAAGTAAACATGAGGGAGTTTTATTTCCTTGTGATCAATGTGACTATGCTGCAACTCGCATAAGTGATCTCAAAATACACATTGAGAGAAAACACGAAGGAATGAAATATTTCTGTAATCAATGTGCGTACGCTGCAACTTTGGCAAGCAACTTGAGAATGCACATTGAGAGCAGACATGTAGGAGTAAGATATCCATGCAGCGAATGTGATTATGAAGCAACTAGAGCAGCAAATCTTAAAACGCATTATAAAAGTAAACATGTAGAAGTGAGATTGTAATGTAAGTGAGATCGCATATTAAAGGGAGTAGCCGGCAATGTATGGTAGTTGAACTGTGAATGTAGCATTGTGAGAAAAAAAAATTAGGATTCAATTGAGATATAAAAAAACTTTTTAATGATGTATAATTACTGAGTTTGAGCGCAAAGTCGAGGTTCAAAATCATGCATTTGGGTGGTTACGTTTTGAGAATCGATTTTTTTTAATTATTAAAAAGCGACGACAAAAATGTAATAAATATGTGACAGTAAACTAATTAGATTTTTTGGGGTTATTTTGTTGAATTAATCTCTAGACCCCAGTTAGGGGTATTTTGAGAATATCTGCATAGAGTCTATAGATTTACTAATTAACTATTTTCATCACTATTTTTATTCAAAAAATGTCTCCAGCGGCAGCATATCGTTTGTATTTGTTTTTTTACGGTAATTGTTTTTAAACGACTTAGGATTTTTAGAGTTTTTATATCTCCCGGCAAACTGTTCCATAAATTTACTACTCTTTGACTAAAAAAATCTCGCCCCGGGAGGGTATCAAATTAAGTGGATCTGCTGTAAGGCGAGTTATTCTATGTACTCCAGGTCCAACTAAATCAAACTAAGTATCACTTGACACATCATCCAGTCTATATTAGGAAAGTTGAAGTCACCTATAATTATGTTCTTCTCAGATTTGTTGTCAGATACTAATTTAAATTGGCAAAATTGATCAAAATCACTATCATTGTTAAGGCAAAAAACTTTGAGTCCGTTCTCAAATAAACTAATATTTCATTACCAATACCATAGGCTGTGTCTAGTCGATCAACTCTAAGTCTAGGTGCAAAGTTCAACAAAGTACAAGGTGACTTTTTCTAATTTTTTTAATTTTTCAATTTTTTTAAAAACTTTCTGTTAATCTGTTTTTTAAATTTTTTCTACCTTTTCCCTGTGCTATCTGTGCACAAAGGTTGTACCGAAAATGTAGCCTAAAAGCAGGAATATCTGAGAAATTTTAGATCAAGGATTCTAAAGATTCGAAAAATGTGGCAAACCACATCCTAAGTTTTGGAGGTGGGAATGACCCACCTAAACAAGGCCCAGATCTGCTGCAGGTCAGCCTCTATCTTTCTCCTTATCTGATCCTCGGTCAGTCTAGGTAAAAAAAAAACGCGGCAGAATATGTACTTCAAAACCAGTACGTAAAATGATGTTACACTAATTATTAGTTGGTTCTCAAGAAGACTATTCAAAAGTGTCTATTCTTACAAATTCTAAAAGTGTCTATTTTAACATTTAGGCTAAAAGTAAAAAGTGTCCTTTTCACTTGTAATTAAAACTAAGAGGTGTCTAGGTGTTAATATTTTTTTGTTGACAAATCACACTTTTTTTGGCATTTGTATTTTTGAATGTAGACTCATATAATTGCCTAGGAGCAGTAAATGAAGTCAGATTGTCGATATCTCTTTCCGGAGACTTGGAACCTCTGAAAAGTGACCTCCGTCGACTCGATTTTTTATCTCCGGCCTTGTTGGAAATAAATAGCCCAATTTTTAATATAGACTCCCAATGAACCCCAGAATACACTAAAAAAACAGAGAAAAAAATTCCTCAAGTTTTTGATGCCAAAACAGGGTGTCAAAAATTGCATTTTTTGATTCTTTTTTTAAATCCTGCTGCATGCTTTTTTGTGTTGTGAACCTGCTGCATGCTGTTTTGTGTTGTGATCCTGCTGCAAGCTGTTTTCTTTTAAAAACATAGGAGTAAACCAAGTAAATGAAGAAAAGAGCAGGGCCGGGTTTATATTTTCCTTAAGAATCATTTCTCCGTAATCGTATAGTTGGCTAGAGTGCTAAAAAGTTTATAGACGGTTAAAAATAACATTTCAGTCGCGCGATGTCTAATTAATTAGTGAATACAGTGCAACAACTTCATCACATTTAAAAAGGCATCGTCTGACAAAGCATTGATTTTCAAAAATATTTGCCCATGACACTTGAATGTTATCTATTTTTTCCGATTTGTAAACATTGATTTATTTATCATTTACAAGCTATACGGTTTCCTTAGAATTGAATTAGAGAAATCAAATGGTTTTTTGAGTAAAAAGTATGAAAAGAGGGGTAAATCTTGCCAGTAAATGTGAATTGTTATATATATATAATAATATGTATACTTATAATATATACTTATGCGCCCCCTCCCCCCCCCCGCGCCAAAAAAAATAGTTGCTGTCAAGATAAGTACATGATTGGTTTTATGTTCTCTGATATAAATATATGCGTGTGAAGTGATAAATTTCCTCTTTGAAACAGAACATATATATAAAGCGGAGAACAAAAACCAATGTCTATATCTTGCTTGTCTGGGTGTCTGTTTGTTTGTGTCCAATAAACGTCAAAACGGCTGAACCGATACGACCCAAACTTTTGGGGTACCTTACATGGTTAATGGATCGTCAGAATTTAAAATATTTGCCTTAAAAAATTAAATATACTAAAATCTCTTTAAAAAACTCGATAAATCCGCGACATTTTTTGTTTTTGTTAGTTTAAGAAAAGAAAATGTCGGTAAGTATAGCAACAATTAAAAGTTAAAAACGAAGATGCCTAGTTAATTTTAAAACATTAAAATGAGAAAATTTATTGGAAAATTCGTAAAAATGGTATTTTGAGTTTCAGAGAGAATGGCCGGAACCTTGAAGGAGGAAATGAAGATTAAAGAAGAGATTGAGGAAGAAATCCTTCTATCCTCTACTGTAGAGGATACATGTACTGTAAAGAAAACATGTACCTTTAAGAATTCATGAATTGTAATGGATACATGTACTGTAGATGATACATGTACTGTAGAGGATACATGTACTGTAAAGGATGCATGTACTGTAAAGGATGCATGTACTGTAGAGGAAACATGTACAAAAGAAGAGACGTGTGTTGTGTATATAAAGGAAGATGTTAAATGTGAAATAACTGAAACCCAAGGTAATACTTTCAATTTAAATCTTCTTAATGACGCTTTCTTGTTTCAAAAATAATTAAAATATAACATAAAATAAACTATTAAATATTATGGTTTATCAAGGAAAATATGTAAATTTGTATTATGTCTCCCTTTTCTTTCCTTTTCTTGGTGAGGATTGTCTCTAGATACTCTAGCAGGTTTGTTTAGCATGATTTTTTTTCATAAACCCATGCTGTGTACTGTGTATGAGTTTATTTAGGCGAAGTTGAACTATTCGATCCTTAAGTTCTGACTCATTTCTTTGCATATCATAGATGTTATGGAAATTGATTAATTGATCCGTTGCTATTTTAGAAGAAAAATTGTGGAGAATGATTTTTTGAGGGATGGAATGCATTTTTTAAAACAACACTACAACTTTAAATCAATTTCNCCGATGTTAACGTGATTGCACGAAGCGTTAACATTTTTTTTTTTAAATTTCGCTGAATTGGAAAAAATGAATAAATATTTGAGTAAAAAATATTAAAACTGTTGAAAAAACTTGCCTGTTGATGCATTTTTAATAATTTTTCCCCAGAGCAATAAAAAATATGTTTAATGTATATTGTATACCACTGTGTTTAGGTGAAATTGTAGTGAATGAAGTGGATCCTTTGGAACCTTCTGAATTCTCTGAATCAGTAAAAACAAAGAAAATAAAACAAGAAGGTGATATTTGATATTATCAATATATATTGATACTAGGCTTTTAGGGCGCTTCGCGCCCATCTTCTATTGAAATTGTGAACATGTTCTTTTTGTTTACATTTTAAAACAAAGAAGGAAAAAATTTTGCGGATTAAAAAAAAATGCGGATTTTCAAGAATTTAATTTTTTTTACAATACTTAAAAACTTTAAAACACATTTAAAATTTTTTTTTTATCATTTATAAACCTTCCCTGTGGTCACGTGATGTCCCACAAAAAAATTGGGCCCGATCAGTTCAGCCGTTTTGACGTTTATTGGATACAAACAAACAAACAGACAGACAGACAAACAGACAGACAAGCCAAATTTATATATTGATATTGGTTGCAATCAAATTATTCGCAATTAAATCAATTGCAATCAAATCAATCGCAATCAGTAACATTTGCAATCTGTTAAGATTGCAAGCAAAATCAATTGCATTCAATATCAGTCGCAATCAGTACTAATTTGATTGCTACTTAGCTGTGATTGCAATTGTTTGACTGCAACTAATTTTGATTACATTTGAGTTTTGATTGTGGTATAGATTTTAATGATAATATAAGATTTAAATATTAAACGTGAAAAATGACAAGCGTGAACATTTTCGAGTTAACAAAAAAACGAATTTTTCACCAATTTCAAGGTTAGCATTTTTTTGAGCTGAGGCAATATTTGAGTTCTTTAATAAAAATATATTCATTGATATCAGTATGGTTTTAAACTTCTTTATGACTTGAAAGGTAAAGAAAATTCCGACTTCTGGATAGATTGATGATCATTGTTTTCATTTTTTGCATTTGTACTTAATCTTTTTCTTCATATGTACAATTACGAAATGGATAGTAGAAGTAACTTCAAGTGACCCTCATATCCCCCTATCAAACTATAAGTATATTTTTCAACACAGCTTTTTCTTAAACATGCATTTTCATTTATTACAGGACTTCAACCTATTTATTAACATGATAAAGGAAAAAAAGACTCAAGATTACAGGACTTTTTTACAATGACCCTTTATTTTGTGTTCTTGTTTTCACAGAACTTTTTAGTGCAAAATCTTGAGCAATACTATTTTAATTTTCCAGGAGCAACTGTGAATTCAAAAGATGGTTCTCTGCTATCCCAGTTTCACAAATCTAAGAAAAAGAAACTAGAGGGAAGAAGATATCCCTGTGAAGAGTGTGGGTGTGATTACACTAGATTGAGTGATCTGAAAAGACATGTTGATAGTGCGCACAAGGGAGTAAAATATCCCTGTGATAAATGTGAATATGTTGCAACTATGGTAAGTCAACTCAGAAATCATGTTAAATGTAAACATGAAGGAGTCAGATATCCGTGTGATAAATGTGAGCACGTTTCAACTACAGCTGGCAATCTTCGATTACATATTGAGAATAAACATGAAGGAGTCAGATATCCATGTGATAAATGTGACTACACTGCAATGGCAACAAGCACTCTTAAGAGACATGTTGAGAACAAACATGAAGGCATAAGATATCCTTGTGATAAATGTGAGTACATGGGAACTTTTGCAAGTGATCTTAAAAGACATATTCAGATTAAACACGAAGGAGTGAGGTTTCCATGTGATAAATGTGATTACACTACCACTTCATTTTACGCTCTGGGTTTGCACATGAAGGGCAAACATGAAGGAGTGAGATATCCTTGTAATGAATGTGAGTATGAGTCAACTAGATTAAATGATCTCAAAATACATGTTGATTCTAAGCATAAGGGAATAAGATTTCCCTGTGATGAATGTGAGTACGTGGCGACTAGAGCTAGTCATCTTAATAGTCATAAGAAGACTAAACATGAGGGAGTGAGGTATCCCTGTGATAAATGTGACTTTACTGCTATCACCACTAGTGATCTAAAAAGGCACATAAGAACTGTCCATGAAGGAGTGAGATATCCCTGCGACAAATGTGATTACACTACCACGACAAAAGGAGTTCTGAAGCGGCATATTGAGAGTAAACATGAAGGAGTTAGATATCCCTGTGATAAATGTGATCACACTGGAATTACATTAAGTGCTCTCAGAAAACATATCAAGAATAAGCATTAAGCACTGAGATTTCTGTGTGATCAATGTGAATTCGCTGGAACTACATCTAGATATCTTAAAGTTCATACTGAAACTAAACACGATAAAGTGAAATATCCTTGTGTTTTATGTGATTACGAGTCTTTAAGATTGACAGATCTAAAAATACACATAAGAACTAAACATGAAGGAGTTAAGTATCAATGCGATCTATGTGATTACACTGCAACGAGGGAAGGTAATCTAAGAATACATATTAGAAGTAAACTTGAGGGAATCCGATATCCATGTGATTAATGTGAACACGCTGCAAACACCGTTGATTCTTTCAGAAAACACGTTGAGAGCAAACGTGAAGGAGTGACCTATCCTTGTGATAAATGTGAGCATTCTGCAACTGCAGCTAGTAATCTTTGAGTACATATTCAGAATAAACTTGAAGGAGTAAGATATCAATGTGATTAATGCGAGTATTTAGCATCTACAGCAATTGCTCTTAGAAAGCACATTGAGAGCAAACATGAAGGAGTGAGATTTCCTTGTATTATCTGTGGATACGCGACAGTATTACAAGTTACACTTAAAAAGCACAAAAGAAGAAATCATGAGAAGAGAAGGAAATAAATTGGAAACGTTTGCATTAGTTTGTGACAGCGTAATCAACTCCTAATCGTATGTACCGTGTAAGATATTCGTAAAACCACGATCGAACTCTATTAATCAGATACTTCGTACTTAAAATTTTAATGAGAAGAGATTTAAAAATTTGAAAGTATTGATTTATTACACTCATTTCCACATCTGACATGGTTGGTGGATATCCCTAAAACTCCAATTTGATTTGAATACTTTCACAATGCTTGTCATTAAACGTGCTTATTGTTTATCAAGGTAAATATGTTAATTTGTAATGTGTCCCTTTTCTAATCTTTGTAGTAATGAATTTGAAAATATATCCCTTTGAATTCTTCGATTTAGTTCTTATGAACAAAACTATAACCGATTAAACTTCATTTTGTCCTACTTGTGTCATAGACACTAATTTGGTTCTTAAAGCTTGCATTTATTTATTTGTTAAATTGTAATTAAGCGTTTCTTATTGATTAAAACATTTCAGGGAGAATGGCTGAAAACGTAAAGGACGAAATAAAGATGGAAAATATTGAGATTAAAGAAGAGATTCAGGAAGAAATCCCTCCATCCTCTACTGTAGAGGATTTGTGTACTGTTTTTATAAAGGAAGAAGATGTAAAGAATGAATCTCAAGGTAAATTCTTAAACATATTTACTTGTATCATAAAGCTTTACCCATAAGTATTTTGGCTGGAAAAAGATAAAGGTGTAATATTAAGGGTTTCGTAACTTGATCTTTAAATGTTTTAATCCAATTCAGTCAATTTAGATTAATTTTCTTAATTTATCTAGATCTTTTCTATGATGGAAATCCCCTTCGAGTTTCAGAGAGTAAAAAGAAGAGGAAATTGGAAGTGAAAATACATCAGTGTGATCAATGTGATTATTCTACGACTAGAACAAGTAATCTTAAAGCACACACTCAGAGAAAACATTCAGATGTAAGATATCCCTGTGACAAATGTGAGCACATTGCAACTGCTGCAAGTGACCTTAAGAAGCATATTGAGATAAAACATGATGGAGCGAGATATTCCTGTCATGAATGTGAGTTTGCTGCAACTTCAGCACAGACTCTAAGCATACATATTGAGAGTAAACATGTAGGAGTGAGCTATCCCTGTGAAAAGTGTGACTATACTGCAACATCGTCTAAGTATCTACAAAGACATGTTAAAAATAATCATGAAGGAATGAAATATTCCTGTGATCAATGTGAATTTGTTTCAACTACAGTAAGGGTTCTAAAAAGACATATCGAAAGTATACATGAAGGAGTGAGATATCCCTGTGGTCAATGTGAGTTTGCTGCAACTAGACCAAGTCATCTCAGAGATCATATAAAGTATAAACACGAAGGATTAAGATATCCTTGTGATAAATGTGAGTACGCAGCAACTTGCAGAGGTAATTTACGAAAACATATTGAGAATATACACGAAGGAATTAAACATCCTTGTGATAGATGTGAGTTCGCTGCAGCTACAAAAAGTTCTCTCAAGAAACATATTGAGACAAAACATTATTGAAGTGCCAAATGAAAAAATTCTGCCCTAACTGCAAATTATCATTGAATACTTATAATACATAAGTAAATTATCTTTGTGATATTTGTTTTGCATCGACAGTAATTAGTCTAAGAGTACATATTCAGAGTAAACATATGAATCAGTTTGATATCCTTAAACTCAGTGCTAGGAATCCATTTAGTTTAAATGTGGATCCGGATCCAGGTCATAACATTTCTTTACGATTTAATGTTTTTTTTTTTTTAAGAAAAACTTTTAAAATAGTTTCTTTTTTTATTTGCTTATTTTAATGCTAAAACTTAATGAACTATTTTTTTTGGATAATCTTTCTTTTTTAACAGTTCAGATTCAGGGTCTGAGAGCAAAAGTTTTTTTAGTTTTGGATTGATATTTTGCCCGGCCCTGTGATCTGGGTCCGTGGATCCGCAATATTTTTACGGATCCTGATCCAGGAAGCCAAAATGTTGCGGATCCAATGGATCTAGATCCGGATCCTAAGCACTGTTTAACCTGATTCACTTCTTCTCATAAACTTTTTTAATCAAAAAAACAAATGAAAATGTACAAACTATTTAATTTAAAATGCGAAAAAATTTAGACATAAATTATGCAACGATCGTTTAAACTAATTAACAATGAAAAACCTATATTGTTTAAGATGTAGAATAATTCTGATCTTTTGTATCTATATGTATGAAGTAATAATATCTATTTCTCTTGTTGTCTGTATGTTCGATCATATAACCCTTGGCCGATTTGCCTCAAACTTTGATACAGATACTCTGCAGAACCAAAGGAATGTTTTTAGTTGGTTGTATATCTTGTAAAGAGAAATCTTAGATTTCTGGGCAATGTTTCTAACTTGTAAATTTAAAATTAGAAAAGTTTAATTGGGCGCAGCTGTATTTGTTCTAAACCCTTTTTTACCATTTTAATCTCCAATTCAAAAATTTCAGAGAATATGGCCGATTCGACCGATACACAGAGAAAGAAAATAAAAGTGGAAAATATTGATATCATAGATGCAATCCGTCCTCCTTCTACTCTAGAGGAAACATGTGCTGTTTATATAAAGGAAGAAGATGTAAAAGTTGAGATAAAAGAACCATATCAAGGTAAAATTTAAAAATGTAATTTAAATATCAATATTAAATCTTCTTGCATTGAAAATTTTCCAACAAGAGTTTTGGATAAATTCGAGGTGATGTGCAGATATTTAAAAAAACACACAAAACTTATTAAAACACCGGTAAGTCTAAAGTATTGCTTCTAGATCTACAAAATTTAATATTTCCTCTCGTTGACAATTTTCTAACAATAAGTTTGGACATATTAAAGGTATTGCTCAGATATTTAAAAAACATGAAGGATGTCCCACGAAACATGACATTGAAGTCGTCTCTCACCTTTAAAATAAAGAAAAATATCCTTTAATTTTAAGAGCAAAAATATGACAGACCACATTTTAGAAATGGCATTAGAATGTAATCGTTAGTTCAAGGATTCTACTCCTAAGGTTAAGTTTACAAATAAATTTTGAACATTATTTTTAAAATCAAAGTCGTATGTAGTCTCTCAATTACCGTGTTTTAAGGGTGAAATGTCGTTTGCACTAATGATTAATCGGACTAACGAACATTTTTACTAAAGTTCAATCGGACTAACATTTATTCGCACTATAGTACAAATGAACACTAATTATTTAATCAAATTAAAATCCGCGTGGAAGATTTTTTTAACCACGTGGAGAACTATCTTTTTAAATTTAGCGGAATTCGGCTCATTTAATTAGTTAGTCTCATTGAACATATTTTAGTAGGAATGATTAAGAAATGGTTAATTGTACTAAAGCTAAAAGTGTGAGTAAAAACGAAGTTAGTACAAATGAACAAATAAAAGTTCAATCGAACTAAAATCCAAAAAATCACATGGGCACATTTACCCTACAATTAGTGCAAATAACATATTTTTGTGAAAATGAACAAAAAATGTTGAATCGAAATAAAATTTAAAATTTTACCATTTTTCACATTAAACCTAATAAGTATACAAATGAACATTTTTTAGTGCAAATGAACAAAATAATGTTCAATCGAACTAAAAATTTAAAATTTCAGTAATTTGCCCATAAATTATAATTATTAGTCCGTTTAAAGAAAAAAAACATTAGTCCGGCAAAAAAAAATTTAGTTGGAAAAGTTCATTAGAACTAATGCTCAATTGCACTAATTTCTACAGAAAAAAAACTTTAATCCGTTATACCAAATTTTTGTTGGAAATGTTTATTTGCACTAAAGATCAATTGCACTAATATTTACGAAAAAAAACATTATGGTCTGTTTGAACAAAATTTTTGTCGGAAATGTTCATTTGCACTAATGTTTAATTGCACTAATATATACAGAAAAAAAACATTAGTCCGTTTGAACAATTTTTTGTTGGAAATATTCATTTGCATTAATGTTTAATTGCACTAATATTTACACAAAGACATTAGTCCGTTTAAACAAATTTTTGACGAGAAGTTTTTATTTGCACTGACATTTAATTGTACTAATATTTCATGAAAAAAAACTGTCAGTTCGATGGAACCAATTTTTTGTTGGAAATGTTCTTTTGCGCGCTTTTTTGTGCACCCCCCTAACGGTTCATGTGCACTCCCTAAAAAACCCGTTTTAGAAAAAAAAATTAAGTTTAAAACCTATATAACCCCGATCAAAAATTAGGAGGGGGGTGTTTTCCACCCCCACCCCCGTGGTTTCTTCTGAATAACTTCAAAATGGCTTACATTAGAACGCTATAACTTCTTCACTTTTCAACATCATAGTTTTGAACAAATTTAGTTTAAAAATACTTTTTTTATACATAGGGTAGGGTGGAGAATGGTCAAACGGCAGGTCAATGTTAAAAAAAAATCAGAAATGGTTAATAACTTTTATATTAATTAAGCTAAGACTTATATATTTGTAAAGACCTTGAGAAATGGATATAATAACATGTGTCATATGTTAATATTTGTCAAAAGTAAAAATTACTTTTTTTGAAAATTTGTTCGACTTACTTTTTGAATTTTTTGAAAATCCTTCCAATTCCTTACACTCTTACAATTAAAGTTAGAGGTCTAAATGTATCACACTCCCCTATCTCAACTCTAAGGGAAAAATCATAGGGGGGGATGGAACCCCCTCCCCCCTTTCTATATTAGACAAAAATAGCCCAATCGGGACTGGGTTAAATTACCTGACTATTAGATGTCATCTGACCATAATTATCAAGAAAAGAGCAAAAAACTTGTAAAAAATATATTTTTTATTCTTTACAGTCTATCATATTGATATCATATCAATTACTAGATTACCCAGGACAGTATTATTTAATACCTTTTAACGATACCTGAGAAAAAAAATGTCCCAAAATAATGTTGATAAAAATGTTCTCAAATTTCCCTTGTATAAATATTCCCAAACCAATAAAGATTGTTCAATCCAGGGTTTAAAAGAATAAAAATAAAAGAATTTTTGGTTAAAAGTTATGGAAACATGCAGCGGTTTTCCACCATTAAAAAATGGGCTAACAAATAGTATTCCATTCAAATGATACGTCCTCAGAATTAACAAAAAAAATAATAGCTTAGTAATACTGCCCCCAAATTCAAGAATTCTGGCTCTAGGGGGACCTAGTGGGTGCTCAGGGGTCTCAGTCCCCCTCCCCCACTACGCCACTGCCCCTCCCTGCTGAAGAGGATACAAGAACAAGGAGAAGTAATGAAGGAGAAAGAGACTAAAGAAGAAAATGTTTTTATCATTGAGAAAGTACCCTCCCTACTGAAGAGGATACAAGAACAAGGAGAAGTAATGAAGGAGAAAGAGACTAAAGAAGAAAATGTTTTTATCATTGAGAAAGTACCCTCCCCTACTGAATATGTTGTGGAAAATACTGAGATTACATGAAGTTAATGTGATAATATAACTATTTCTATTATTTTATATTTTTAATAATTCATAATTTTAAAAATTTTAAAAATAATTTCGATGGAAAAATTATTTGTTCGAGCAGAGTTTGCAAGTTTGAATATATTATTATCAGTAGACATATTTGAAGTTGTATGGACATTCTTTTTCTTATAGAGAATACAGTTTTGTTCAAACAAATCATTGAACTGAAGTATATTAAAGTTTTTAAATAAGTGAAAAAAATTTTTACCGAGTATATTTCTTACACATTTTATTTGTAAATTTGTTATACCTCTTAGTTTACTTTTTTAAACCCCTCCCCAAGCTAGAACACAATATTCTAGTTGGGGACGAAACTTACAATTATATAATAAAAGAAGAGTTTCTTTAGGAAGAATATTCTTCGTTTTAGAAATAAGATGATTTCAATATACAAGTTTAGATTTAGTTTTACTAATGTGAAATTCCCAGGTTATAATAAAATGTACATTTTAGATGAAAAAATTCTCAATGAAGAGGATCCTCTGCTGGTTGGATCAAAAATAACCAAGAAAAGGAAACTAGGAGTAATATATTTTTGTGATAAATGCGACTATACTGCAACTTGCAGAGGTAATCTAAATAAACATATTAACAGTAAGCATGAAGGAGTGAAATATCCTTGTGATAAATGTGACTATTCTGCGACCAGCCGACGTTATCTCAAAGAACATAATGAAAATAAACACGACGGAGTTAGATATTCATGTGATAAATGTGATTATTTAGCAACTATACCAACTCGTTTAAGAGAACATATAAAGAATAAACATGAAGGAGTGAGATATCCCTGTGTAAAATGTGAATACGCTGCAACTACAGCTGGGGATCTTAGAAAGCATTTCGAAAATAAACATGAAGGGGTGAGATATCCTTGTGATAAATGTGAGTATTCTGCTGCTAGACCAACGTCCCTAAAGGAACATAAAAAGATTAAACACGAAGGAGGAGGACATCAGTGTGTTAAATGTGAATATGTTGGAACCACAGCAAGGGATCTTAAAAGACATACCGAAAGTAAACACGAAGGAGTGAGATATCTGTGTGATAAATGTGAATATTCTGCAACTAAACCGAATAATCTTAAAAGTCATAAAATGTATATGCACGAAGGACTGAGATTTCCTTGTAATAAATGTGAATACGCTGCTACTTGTCGAGGTAATCTAAAAAAGCTTATTGAGACTAAACATGAAGGAGTGAGATATCCATGTAATAAATGTGAATATGCTGCTACTAGGCCAAATCATCTCAGAGACCATATTATGGTTAAACACGAAGGAGTGAGATATCCTTGTGATAAATGTGAATACGCTGCAACTACAGCAGGGGATCTTTAAAGACATACCAGAAATAATCATTAAGAAGTGAGACATCCTTGTGATAAAAATGTCGGAATCTGATCGTGGAAATCTTAACAAAAAAATAAGAGTTTTAAATGTTTTAATTTTTTAATTTTGGCCTTTTAAAAACCTTCCCTAGGGTCGTGTGAGTTGCCTGAAAAAAAAACTAAGTCTAACTGGTTTCACGTTTATTATAAATTAACAGAAAAGCAAAATATGTTTATAAATATACAATGATAAGAGAAGCGCGAAAAACTTAGATGAAATATTGGGAATCCCCTCAGAAACTTCCTGTATTTTTTTTTAGTGATTTCTGTACAAAGCTTTGCTCCATGTTAGCTCTTAAAATATATTCTTGGTATTTGATTAAAATGTTAATTTAAAATTTAAAAACCCGTAAAAAATAGTGTCCTCAAATGATTAAAGGGGGGTTGCACTTTGATACTTTGTGACACAAATTTTGTACAGGCTTCGTTTGGTCCTAAAATTTGAGATAGAAGGCTGAAATTTTGCATGCAGCCTCTAATTTTGGTCGTCTACAGGGATCACAAAGAAAATTTGAGATCTGTGATCATTGACCTCCATTTTGACCCCCATGACTTCAGAAAATATGCGGAAATACCACCTTTTCTCTCTAATTCATTTATTTTAAGTTAATCAGACATGTTTTCACATTTTTCCGACATATATCCGACCTCCAGTTTGACCTCCCTTCAATAACTACCTCAAAAAAGGTCAAAATATGAAATCAATGTAAATGGGTCATTTGAGGTATCAAATCACAGGCTTTTTGGTGTTCTGATTCTATTCTGAGACCCCTTATTGACCTCAGATGATCATGGAGATCTTGACCTTCAGATATCAATGACCTCTGGAGGTCAAAATATGAAATCAATGTAAATGGGTCATGTGAGGTATCAAATCATAGGTTTTTTGGTGTTCCCATTCCATTCTGAGAACCCTGTTCAACCTCAGATGATCCATATCAATGACCTCTGGAGGTCAAAATATGAAATCAAAAAAAGCAATAATATTTGACCAAAATGATTTGTCAAGGTGTTCAAACAAATTGTAAATTAACCTTGTATTAATATTGATGGTATTGTAAATACCTTTTATTAAGTTTAATCATTAGTAAATTCATGTAGATTTCATAAAATTTACACCCCTTCTATTATAACGTTTCTAATAAGTTTCCTATATAAGTTTGCCTCAATCCTTTCTGCTAAATGTGGACTTTGGTCGTCCCGCCCCCCGCTCCCTCCCCAATGACATGTTTCAGTCCATAATGATAAGTTATTGTTTTAATATTACATGTTATAAATTATTGATGATTTGATTACAGAGAGAATGGTTAAAACTGTAGAAGAATTTAAGGATGAAGAGTTAAAGATGAAAAAAGAGAAAGGTTTTATAAAGGAAGAAGTTATAACTCCATGTATTGTAGAGGACACATGTACTTTATATGTACAAGGAGAAGTAATGAAGGAGGAAGAGATTAAAGAAGAAAATGTTTGTATCAAGGAAGAAGTACATTCCCCTACTGAAGAGGATACATGTACTGTATATGTAAAGGAAGAAGATGTTAAGATGGAAAATACTGAGATTAAAGGTAATGTTAAAATATAATTATTTCTATTATCTTATATTTTTAATCATACTATTTACAAAATAAATTTCTTAGATGAAATAGTTCTCAATGAAGAGGATCCTCTCCTGGTTGGATCAAAGATAACCAAAAAGAGGAAACTAGAAGGAGTGAGATATCCTTGTGATAAATGTGAGTACGCTGCAACTAAGTCGAATCATCTCAGAGAACATATTAAGAATAAACATGAAGGAGTAAGATATCCTTGTGATAAATGTGAATATGTTACAACTACAACCAGGGAACTTAGGAGACATATCGAAAGTAAGCATGAAGGAGTGAGATATCCTTGTGATAAATGTGAGTACTCTGCAGCCAGACCAAATCATCTTAAAAGTCATAAAGAGTATATGCACGAAGGAGTGAGGTTTTCTTGTGATAAATGTGAATACGCTGCAACTTGCAGAGGTAATCTACGAAAACATTTTGAGATTAAGCATGAAGGACTAAGATATCCATGTGATGAATGTGAATACGCAGCAACAAGACCTAATCATCTTATAAAACATAAAGAGTATAAGCATAAAGAAGTGAGATATCCCTGTAAAAAATGTGATTATGCTGCAATGACAGCAAGTAGTCTAAAAGTTCATAATGAAAGCAAACATGAAGGAGTAAGGTATCCTTGTGATAAATGTGACTATGTTGCAACTATAGAAAGTGGTCTTAAAAGACATATTAAAAGTTTACATGAAGGAGTGAGATATAATTGTGATAAATGTGATTACAATTCAGCTACAGCAGGTAGTCTTAAGATACATATTGGGACTAAGCACGAAGGAGTGAGATATCCTTGTGATAAATGTGAGTACGCCGCAACTACAGCAAGTAGTCTAAAAAAACACATTGAGAGTAAGCATGAAGGAGTTAGGCATCCTTGTGATAAATGTGAGTACGCTTCAACGACATTAAGTGATCTTAGAAGACATATTAAGAGTTTACATTGAAAAGTTAGATATCTGTGGGAAAAATTTGATTACAATGCGGCTAGATCAAAAGGCTAAAAAATTATCTTTTGTGATCTTTCACTAAGTATTCACAATAATCTGGCAACTAGACCAAAACTTGTGAGGTTTGAGAAAACACAATCCAAGTATAACCATGAAGATATTATGAGTAAGCACATGAAGAAAAATATTTTATGTATATTGAAAAAGATATCGTCTGGCTGAACAATATAATTTTAGATTGACTTTATTCTTTGATTTCATTTAAAAATTTATCTATCAACCCAAATACTTCATAAGAAATTGTTTCAGAGAGAATGACCGGAAACTTGAAAAAGGAAATAAAGATGGAAAATATTGAAATTATAGAAAAGATTCAGAAAGAAGGCCGTTCATCCTCTACTGTAGAAGATACATGTACTGTTTATATACAGGAGGAAGATGTAAAGAATGAATCTCAAGAAATATTGGAGAAAGAGGTTAAAATAAAAGAGGAAAATGTTTGCATCATGGAGGAGGTATCCTCTCCTTTTGTATATGTAGAGGGAGAAGTCAAAACTGAAAATACTGAGATTAAAGGTAATGTTTCAATATCATAAAATAAATAGATTCTCTGTTTTAAATAATTAGATCATAAGAAGTATCTCATAAAAGACCAATAACCAATGGATCTTGATATTCGGAGAAAACTGTTTTGAAAACCATTAATCTGGAATTTACTTCATTTAAAATGCTGCTGAGAACATATTGTTTAAAGACTTGTTTATTTTCAGATATTCTAGAAGTACATGAACCACATCATCTTTCTGTTTATTTTCAGATATTCTAGAAGTTCATGAACCACATCATCTTTCTGTTTATTTTCAGATATTCTAGAAGTACATGAACCACATCATCTTTCTGTTTATTTTCAGATATTCTAGAAGTACATGAACCACATCATCAACCTGTTTATTTTCAGATATTCTAGAAGTACATGAACCACATCATCTTTCTGTTTATTTTCAGATATTCTAGAAGTACATGAACCACATCATCTTTCTGTTTATTTTCAGATATTCTAGAAGTTCATGAACCACATCATCTTTCTGTTTATTTTCAGATATTCTAGAAGTACATGAACCACATCATCAACCTGTTTATTTTCAGATATTCTAGAAGTACATGAACCACATCATCAACCTGTTTATTTAAAGGAAGAAGATACAGAAATTCGAGGTAATGAAATATATCTGGACATAAACATTATTGGTTTCTTTTCTATTTAATTTCGGTGACTAGTTTAGTAAATATCGGATTTAAACCAAATTGCATTAAAAATCTTTTTAAAGTCGGGAAACATTCCGATTCTATCTAATTATATACTTTGCTTGTCTGTATTTAAAACAGCCGAACCAATCGGATCCTCAATTTTTGAGGCAACTCCAGAGACGTATTCAGGCTTAAGTCCGGGGGGGGGGGGGTTAAAAATGTACCTGAAGGGCAAACAAAATTTGGATTAGCCCCCCCCCCCTTGGAACAATTTAAGCCCTCCCCCCTGGATTGCTAAAAACTAACCTAAAAAAAACAGGAACTGTTTTCTCAAAACCAAGCACCTTAATGAATTATCTGAAAGAATTTTTACATTTCAATGCTGTAAAAAATAACAAATATACAAATGTACATATATCACTGCGGCAAAAATCTTTGATAATTAAAAAAATAAACCAGGCAAATTAAACAATATCATAAAACATTCAAAATAATAAGATCCATAAACATTAAACAATGAACATATACTAGAGGGGGCCGGGGGAGGGGGGAGGGTGCTCAGTCATTGCTCAGTCTAATAGCTATAGTGGGAAGGGGAGGGGCTGTGTTAATTGGCCGCTCCTTTACAGGGGGGGGGGGGCTCAGCCCCCATTGGGGACTGAAATCCCCCTGAAAATCAAAGCTTCCACTTTCCAGGGGGGCTGAGCCCCATAGACCCCCCCCCCCCCTATGAATACGCCTCTGGGCAACTCACATAACCCTAAGGAAGGTGTATGAATGCTCAAAATTACAAAAATTTGTCTCCAACATTTTAATATTCGCTAAAAAAAATTAAAATCCACGGAAACATATAATTAAAATATCCGCAAACTTTTTTATTATTGATTAATATTGTACAAAGAGAAGATGCTCACAATTAAAAGTTGAAATAGAAGATGCCTATATAGTGACATATACTATATAGTGAATTAATATTCTTTAAAAAAAACCGTGATAACACTGCTGACTATTCTTTCTTTTAGAGTCTGCTGCAAATGATAATTATCTTTCGTTATCTGAACTTAAATACACCTGTGATGAATGTGAATATTCTACTTCTAACCGTTCAAACTTGATGGAACATATTGTAAGCAAACAGGATGAAAATCAAGTATTTCCATGTGATTGGTGCAAATTTGTATCTAATTCGTTGATAAACTTGAAGAATCATAGAGAAAGAATTCATTTAAGATCTGGAACTTCTGTAGAGAATACATGCACTGTAGAGGATACGTGTACTGTGTATGTCCAGGAAGAACATATTAAGATGAAAAATATTGACATCAAAGGTAATTTTCAAATATCTTAAATACAAACTAATTTTCTGATAAATCTTTGCTTAAATCTTTCTAAATGTACTTTTTTCTGTTTATTAAGAAACAATTGGACACAATCCTTATATATCACACTCTCATTATATCTTATAATTAAGATCTACTTATATATTATGGATATACTATAATTATTATTTTTATGTTTTTATTATTATTATTATTATTTTTATAAGTAGTACTTTCATTAAAGATTTAAATGTTTATTCAAGAATACTTGGCATTTGAAAATACCGTTAATATTACATAAAATTATCAGGGATTTAAAATTCGGTGATGGTGATGGACCAAACCTGTGTACATTAAAAAAGTTGATGTTAGTTCCACATTTATTGAAAATATATTTCGGTCTGGGTTGACCCTCGTCAGTTCTAACGATATAATAACCATCAAAATCGATAAAAAAATAAAAAATGTAAAAAATCACAAGAAGATAAACAAACAAAAAAGATTATTCAAAATAAAAATTTGGGCTGTCAAGTGGACATAAGGAAAACGAACTCAGATTATGAGATGGAAAAAAGATAATTTGCAAATATTCACTTAAAAAAAAAAATGTTTTAAGACAATTATTATTCCTTGAGATTGTTTCTTCACAAAGATTAAAAACAAACTGTGTAGATGTGGGCGTATAGAGTGGGGGTGGGGGTCGATCTAATTAACGAACTTTTGCGGAAGTCGGGGGGAGGGGGGGGGGGGGGAACGGCTTGTAAGGAGGGGTATTTAAACCTTTTAAAGAATAGGACATTATCAGGTATAAACTATATTACAATTTTTGTTTTGTTTTTAAATTTTGTATATCATTATATGATTTCCGTTTTTGAGTGCCAGTTCAGTGCTTGGCAAAAACTGTAAAATCAAACTATTTGGTGCTGAGTAGCATGCATATTGCATACTGCAGAATAGTTAACTATTTTTTCAGTGCTTCTCACTGGCCAAATACGGCACGTTTCTTTTTCACAATATCCGAAAATAGGATTCTCGATAGTTGGTGGTGGCATTTGGCGTGGACTTGGATCTGGTTCAGTTTCGAGATTCAGTACAGGCTCGGGATCTGGTTCAGTTTCGAGATTCAGTACAGGCTCGGGATCTGGTTCAGTTTCGAGATTCAGTACAGGCTTGGGATCTGGTTCAGTTTCGAGATTCAGTACAGGCTCGGGATCTGGTTCAATTTCGAGATTCAGTACAGGCTCGAGATCTGGTTCAATTTTGAGATTCAGTACAGGCTCGGGATCTGGTTCAATTTCGAGATTCAGTACAGGCTCAGGATCTGGTTCAATTTCGAGATTCAGTACAGGCTCGGGATCTGATTCAGTTTCGAGATTCAGTACAGGCTCGGGATCTGGTTCAATTTCGAGATTCAGTACAGGCTCGGGATCTGGTTCAGTTTCGAGATTCAGTACAGGCTCGGGATCTGGTCCAATTTCGAGATTCAGTACAGGCTCGGGATCTGGCTCAGTCTCGAGATTCAGTACAGGCTCGGAATCTGGTTCAGTTTCGAGATTCAGTACAGGCTCGGGATCTGGTTCAATTTCGAGATTCAGTACAGGCTCGGGATCTGGCTCAGTATCGAAATCTGATTCCGTTTCCGGGTTGTGGTTCAAGTTTAGGGCTTTAGAAGTTATTTACACCGTCTAGTTGAGGTACAGGGGAGGAAGCTATGAATTAGGACCGTGTTTTCCTTTTATTCTGGGGGTTAAAACAGATGTAACTTTTCCACTTGAAGGTATTACACAGATGGTCTTCTTGGACTGAGGGGTTCTCACGGAATTACGTACCTCTCCTCGAACTGAGGAGTTCTCAAGGGCCTCTCCTTGGACTTAGGGGTTCTTACGTACCTCTCCTCGGACTAGGGGTTCTCACTAGCCTCTCCTCGGACTGAGGGGTTTTCACAGAACTCTCCTTGGACTGAGGGGTTCTCACGGACCTCTCCTCGGACTGAGGGGTTCTCACAGGTCTCTCCTTCGACTCCGGGGTTTTCATGGACCTCTCCTCGGACTGACGGGTTATCACGGGCCTATCTTTCTTCGGTCTGGTGGTCTTATTGGACTGAGGGGTTCTCACGGACCTTCCCTCGGACTGAGGGGTGTTCTCACGGAACTTTCCTCGGAATGGGGGGGGGGTCACTATTATTATAATAATAATTAAAATAATAAACAAAGTTAGCTATCTTGCTCATTCTTGCTTATTTTAGCTTTTTATTGACCCACTAAATCTTCATTCATTCTATTTATGCGATTCTTACTTATACTATTTATTTTTTAACTTATCTATTCTATATTGTTATATATTTTAAATATAGAATATATTTTTTAGATGAAATAGTAAACCAAGAAGATGATCCTCTGCTTTGTGAGCGTCATAAATGTGAGCACATTAAATATAAATAATCTTAGACAACTTCTTGAGATTAAACATGAAGAAGTGAAATATCCTTGTAATGAATGTGAGTTTGCTTCTTCTACAGTAAGTCATATCAGACAACATATTGAGAGTAAACACATATATCCATTATCCAATTTAGGATTTAGGATTGTTAGAAGGCGAAATAAAGACGTACAGTACTGCCCAAAAAACTGTGGAATATAAATAATCCAGTGAATATAAAAAACCTCAATTGTTGAGTGTACGTAAAGTAATTAAAGTAAAATAAGTTGATTTGTCGCAACTTTGTGACCTCGTAGTTTTCTTGTTTTGATTTTATGCACAAGTAAGAGAAAATATTTATTCGGCAACATTTTCTTCTTCTTAAAAGCTCTTAAATAAGAAGAGTTAAGATTGAAAACATTCAAGGATTTGCTTTAGTTTAACTTGAAATGTCGCTTTAAACCCCACAGTGTTATGGGTACGTTTCTAATTTATACAATTTCAAGAAATAATTTTGATAAATTCAGGTTCCTTGGGGCCATCGCGAGTCACAGTGACATGTGTTTTACCAAACTGCAGACCAAGAATAGGAGGATCATCTTTTAGGATTCCAGCAAATCCAAAAAGAAAAAAATTGTGGATGAAAGCCCTTCAGTTAGATAAGGAACTTCTCTTGTTAAAAGATCCAAGAGTGTGTGAGAGGCATTTCAAACTCTCTGATTTTAGAATAAATGTCACAACCCCGAGAAAGAAAGTTTTATATTCCACTGCCGTGCCTTTCATAGAAAATTAATTTATGAAGTATAATAAATATTACCACGTTAGTTTCTTAAAACCGTGGGTAGGGAACTCATTCTAGAATGAATAAGAAATGAGGTAATTAATCAATGTTAAGAAGGGTATACTTGCATAAAATATGATAAATTTAATGATGGTTTTCTTTGGTCTCTAAATACCAAGATCTAAAGGTTATTTTCTTCATAAGTACACTTCTTAAGAGTTTAAAAAAGGCTTTGTTATATCTGGCAGTTGTCTCTTTAAAGTCTCATTTTTTGGGTAACTATCAATGAGAATAGAATACAAGGGAGTACTGTCCGCCCCACCATATGAGTATACATGCGAGACATGCAGGAAGATTATCTGGATACAATTTTATATATTTCTTGGTGACACAAACGCATTTTTTTAATAAAATATATTTTTTTACAATAAATTTTTTAAAATTTCATAAAGATAATTACAAGCTTGTAAAATATTATTTTTATAGCATTACAGTATTCCAATTTTTCCCACTTTGGGATTCTTGGGTCCCCGGGACCCTTAGGGCGGCCCTGTAAAAAATGTTCAGAGGTGCACATTTTCTTTTGAATAGATATGTATGAAACTAAGAAAAATCCAAAATATTTTTTATTTTGGACCATTTTTTCCGGTGCCGCTGGAAAAAACTTGATTTTTTGGCCATTTTTGAACTTTATTGATTTTATTTCTTAAAACATTTATTAAATACAAAGTTTTTGGCTGAGATTAATGTTTTATATCATTCTGGAAATCCCAGATAAGGTCTAAAAGATAAAACCAATTGATACTGAATATTTTGTAAATTCATAGTTTTATAAGCAGTTTTAGGCCCAAAATCATCGATTTTTTTTTATGCGCACTTGCACCTCACTAACATACCCTTAGAACTGAACAAACAAAAAAAATTTTTTTTTTCCATTTTCCATATTTTATACTTATTTTAAAATGTCATTACTTTTTGAAATACCTTCAAAAATGGTCGATAAATGCACAGTTTAAAAACTCCGTTTTTTTGAGTTTTTTCAAAATTTTTTGACGTGTTTGGACATTTTGAACTTGTTCTTTTAAAATGTTCATAAAATACAAAGTTTTGGACTTGGAATTTTGTTTAATATCATTTTGGAAACCCCAGATACTACTTGATTCGACAATATGAAAAAAAATGTTTAAAAATTGTTGAAAACTATTTTAATTTCATGTAGTGGAAAATAATCTGCTTTTTTACTATACACAAACCTGGTCAAAACACTCGCTGACAAATATTTAAAACATTTTTTTTTAGTTTTTCATTTTCTATTTGATATATTCTATGCTTAATAATTCAGACAACTTAAGATTTCTATAAAATTTTGAAGTGATATGTTATTTAAGAAAAGTGATTTTCCTTCACTTCCATGACATGTATTGAAATTCTTGTAGAATCGTCAATTTTTGAAACAGTTTCAAATCAAAATTTTGCCTGTTTTATTGTGTTTTAGAGGATCTCTTATGATCGTTGTATACAAAAAATAATTTCAAAAATTATATATTTTTCCATGACAATTGAGAAAAACGTGCAATGCTATGAGATGAATAAAATGTAGCATAATTTTGTGTTCCATTCATCATGATGTTTAACTTACAGCTTGATATTAAATTGTGTCCAACCTTGACCTGAAGTTAAAAATTGACGATTCGACAAGAATTTCAATACCTTTGTTTAATGTTTCTTCAAGGTTAATGTATAACCGAAGCCAATCTAAGAAATTTACAAATGCCGCATTATATTGTGCATACAGTCCGGGCATTTTCTGTTAATGATAACAATAGTTCTTTCTCTAAATGATTTTCGAAGCTCTGATCTGTGATTTTTGGTTCATTCTTTATTTATTATGTTTAACGATAAATGATAAAAAAGATAATTCTAAGATTAGATCTATTTTTTTACCAACCACCTCTTGACACATCCAGGTCCCTGCGCACACTAAACTTATTATTCAGGATAAAATGTATGCATTGCGTATAATCTGTTTACCCTGTAAATTGTTTTCATTGATGCTTTTGTATATCTCTTATTTCAGACAGAATGGCTGAGACATTTAAAGAAGAAATCAACCTTGAAGAGTTTGAGATGAAAGAAGAGACAGTTTTCAAGGGAAAACTCCTTCCACCTTCTACTGCAGAAAACTCATGTTCTGTTTATAAACATGGAGAGGGAATAAAAGGTGAAGAGTCTAAGATGAAGAAAGAGATGGTTGATATCAAGGATGAAGTAATTACTCCTTCTACTGTAGAGAACACATGTTCTGTTTATATACATGGAGAAGGAATAAAAGAGAAAGAGTGTGAGATGAAGAAAGAGATGACTGATATCAAGGATGAAGTAATTACTCCTTCTACTGTAGAGGATACATGTAGTGTGTATGTACAGGGAGAAGGAATAAAAGAGGAAGAGTGTGAGATGAAGGAAGAGATGGCTGATATCAAGGATGAAGTAATTACTCCTACTGTAGAGGATACATGTACTGTGTATGTACAGGGAGAAGGAATAAAAGAGGAAGAGTGTGAGATGAAGGAAGAGATGACTGATATCAAGGATGAAGTAATAACTCCTTCTACTGTAGAGGATACATTTACCGTGTATGTAAAGGGAGAAGATGTCAAGGTGGAAAATACTGGAATTCAAGGTAAAATACAAAAATTGATAAAAAGAACTAAATAAAAAAGATTTGTGTTAATTTTTTTTAATTAACTTATTTCACTTTGGAAGTATGATGTCTGTATATTTTTGAGAAAATAACTTACACTTTGTTACAATTTTGCAGTTAGAATTGTACAACTTGTAGAGTCTTATGTACCGAAATAACTCATCCATGTTGTGTACCAAACAACTCATCAATTTTCAAGGAATATGTTTAAAAATACGACATGACTGCATAGCTGGGAAAATTATTACTTAATTGTTTCAACTTTTGAAGTTAATGGAAAAGTACAGGGGAATTATACGAGGAATTGTAAAGATCCTTTTTTAAACACGAGTCTATAAAACCCTTATTTTCTTTTTTTTTAGATATTATTAAATTTTCTTGATATAATTTTTTTTAATTTGGATATTGGTTTCATTCAATATCAAAGAGCATGATTGTTGACTCTTTTTTCAGAAAATTAGTGTTTAACCCTATCCTGATTGGATCCTGATTGGGCTATTTTTGTCTAATATAGAAGGGGGGGATGATTTTGCCCTTAGAGCTGAGATAGGGGAGTGTGATACATATCACAGGTCCAGCTTTTTCAGGCCTCCTCATAAAAACAATCAGACCTCTATCTTTTTAATGGGAAAATTTCAAAAAAGTTCAAAAAGTACGTCGGAACATTTTTCAAAAATAAATATTTTTACTTTGGACAAATATTTACATGTGACACTTGTCATTACATCCATTTGTGAAGGGCTTTTCAAATATAAATTTAGCCCTGTAGCTTATTTAATAAAAAAAACATTTCTGATTTTTTGCATTTGTAGTTAAAAAAGTGAAGTAGTTTTAGAGTTAAAATACCAGTCGTTTTGAAGTTATTTAAAAAAACACCCCGGAAAAGACCCTCCCCCCATGGGAGGGGTGAGAGTAGGAGCGGCCAAACGCAGTTACGTGCGCATGCCGCAATGAATTATAAGAAGAGAGAGATTAGTATATATTTGTGGGTTAGGTTAGGTTCGCCGTGGCAAGGACAGGCTAGGAGGCGGAGCGCCGCGGCAAGAACTGGCTCTCTCTGTCTTTTAATTCATTGCGGCATGTGCACGTAACTGCGGTGGATCGCTGCCTGATAGGCGTCGTTCCTAACTTGGCGGAGGGGGGGATAGATAAAACTCCTAAGAATGCGCGAATACCGGATAATATTTCTTTAATTCTCTCTCTCTATGACAGCTTGCCATGACAGCTTGTTTCTATAGATAGTTTGATTTTAATTTGATACGAATGTTAATGATTTATATTAT